CTGAACGAAAAGCAGGCCGTGGCCATCTTAATGTTGCGTTATTGATTTTGATACATTTTGTTTTCAAAATGTATGGATTTAGTCATTTGCCCCTCTCAGATAACAGCAGCTCCTATAGTGCAAATAACGGATACGACTCAATCTATGGCCACAGTAAGTTACATACCTATACTTTATATAATAAATGGCATTTCTTTATAGTTGGCAAATCGTATGCCTTAGCCTTGAAGAATCGTCTAAAACCCGGTATACGCCTTTTTTCACAAATAACACGGGTTTCTTCCTTCCTCGAATAGAATCATCAACGTTTAATAAGAGCTGACACACTTCATTGAGAGCATCTGTACTTATCATACTTGTGAATAGTCAACAATTGTGAGAAGGACTAATTTATTCAACCTAGAATATCAAACCTGAAGAATAGAAAATTCAGACTATCAAACATCGTTGTTTCCAAAACCTTAGACTTCTTACAGCTCCCGATATCACTTTATGGTGCACTAAACTTTTTTATATCTAAATGAATGCAAAGAAACCTATAATGTGGGAATCCATTCTTGGAAAACTTTTCATCGGTAGTACTGAAGTCACCCCACAATTTGACTTCCAATCGATACAGTCAACCCTGGTTTTCTACCCTACTCCCTCACTCCGCCACCCCAATTGGCCATTCAGCTCAGGTGGGCGAGCGAGGGAGTAGTGTAGAAAATCAGGCTTGACTGTGTCGATTGAAAGTCAAACTCGTAAAATGACCTAAATTTATTTTATTGAGTGATGGTCCTATTTCTTGTTTGAACTTTTATCGTTCTCATCGCATATATTTTTGTTAAACAAACTTAGCGCTGTCTTTTTAACACTACCTCAAGTTGATGCAGCTGTTGCCCACCTAGTTCCTACAGTAATTACAGTTTCTTCGCATCTTAACAGCAGCCTACCCTTCGATGGTGCGGATTCGTTAATTGTTCTGCAATGTTCACTTTGAGAGCATCATCATAATTTTATCATCATGTATGACCGAGCTCGAAAACGATGCAACTATTCAACATTGCAATGATTATATTGTGAACAAGCGAGTACTCACAAGCGTTTCAAAGAATCTGTTTTCATGTGCAAAGAGGTTAGTAGATTCATACCCTCCTTTTTGGGAATTTAATATGTAGATGTTTAACATTTTCAAGCATTCATTATGTACACCAATTCTTAAAATTGTTTAATGCGTGTACAGGGCAGGTTCAGTAGTGCAGCGTGGTTTTGCTAACACTATCACGTGCATGAGATGAATATTTATGATCTTGTGTTACCGAATTCATCAGCAGGCTTCTGTTTATGAGACGACTCAAAAGCCGATTCAGTGCACATTATACATAGGTTGAAAAAGACTCAGACTCAAAACAAGAACTAAGAAAATCACAGCATAAAATGAAAATTGAAGGTATGGCTCAACCTTGGTTGAAACCGGAATCTTGTTTTACAAAGTGATCTGCTTCATTAATAGACAGTTGTATATAGGAGCTGCATTCATTCAAACAAAAAAGCAAGTTTTAGAATCAGTTCATGAAAGTTCGGTTGTTGGCTGGAAGTGTAAGGACGTAGGGTAAAGAATCAGTGCTGAATGGGTTGATTCGTTAAGAAATTCATTCAGTGGATGTTATAACACTGGAGAGCTTTTCAGAAATAGCTTTCAACATTATAGGTGTTCAAATGTCTACTTCAGTCTGAAAAAGTGGCCTAACTAAAGTCTGCGCCTATAAAGGATGATTGGTGATACAACTAGTAGTGATTGTTCACGGAGCTTACAAGGAGTGTTCACTACGAATATTTTCGATGGAGTTTGTAACTTTTTCCTGGACACGAACCAATCGAGAAACGTACGTTCTCACTAAAACGAGTCGCATACCTGTTTTGTACGACGAAATAGCTTATTTTTTTGAGTGCAGGCATACAGTTTGAAATCATAAAAAAGACGAAAAAGAGATAGAAAGCAAGAAAAGGCGCATCGCTATATAAATACATGTTTAACAACTGCATATATATTTATTTACTTATTACACGAGATACAGTAGCGCTAAAAAGTATTCGGCGAAATGCTTCTTCACTTGTAATTTTCAGTCATAACTCCTTTCCTACTGGATCTAATCGAGCGAAATTTCAATATGTGTAGCATGGGTGTAGTGTGAATATTTACCACTATTAACCTGCATTTTGTTCATGTTCGAAATATCCCAATGAGCTTGAAATCAAAACCAACTGAAAATTGGAACGTTGGTGCTTCTAGGATTCCTTTCCTTTTTGCCATGTCCAAAGTATACGTGCGCTAATGCGGAACAAAGAAGAGTAGAAAAAGCAAATAAGGAGCGAATAACAGCAGACGTCACAAATTAGCTTTCAGCATTGTCTATAAACGCCTTCCCCTTACTTATGTGGACATTGCTGCTTCGCAGTTAAACATATCAAAATTTCATACGATTTGCTCCACTGGGAGAAAAGTGACGGCATAAAGTTGGCCGAATACTTTTGAGCGCTACTGTATGCTCGTGTGAACAAAATTATGAAAGAACAACCTGTGAACAAGAACCAGCTCAACATTGGGCAAATTTATGAAAAAATATAAGAAAAAAAGGAACCCACATTCAAAAAGTGTTATCAAAATGGCCAAAACAACCTTAGGAATGCGACCAGTCTGCTTTTTGTTCACTTTGGAATTTGATAACTACTCAGCAAACTACTGAATACTTCCACTGGAGGTGGATGCCTGCTAGTTAAAATTAAAACGAGGGTTGTTGCTGATGTGTTGCCCACAGAAACATTGATAGACCGAAGACTCTTCAGCTGAACCTTTCCACGTTTTCATTGCACCGCACTGTATAGCTAGACGAGCTCAGCTGAATTATTCAGGGTTTTACATGGGGAAACGGTGAGAACTAATCTTGTTATGAAGGAAAAGAGTAGGCAAACCGCGTTTCTTGGTGATTTTTTGAATATCCAGGGTTACCCATGCTATCTTTAGCTAACTTGGTATGGAGTGTGATATCTTCTCCCCGAAAACCTCCCCTGGGCATCGTATCGCAAGCGTGCCACGGATGACTGTAGCACGCAATTTGTGAGGTAGAGAACCCTTTTATTATTCACCATTCCTGGCCACCTATATCCCATATCATAAGCCCAACAAACACCGCATTGTGTTGAACTGAAATTGAGCTGAAACTGAAATGGCAGTTCAACATTGCGAAAGAAGTGCGATATACTAGGCTATGTACACTGGTACTAGTATTACATGGAGAACGAATAATAACACTGAATCAGGTGAGATAGCTTGAAGAACCTTTCAGATCGAAATTGCAGATTGTAGGGCTTGGTTCGTCATAATAGGTAAGGCTTGATGAGGATGATGTGAAGCGCTGGTGGTGCATAATTTGTCAGATAATGGATTACGGTGGGCATGGACTTTACATATATTTCAGACGGGATTGTAGTTATCATTATATTGACAAGTAAACGCAGGTATGTAAGTGCACTATCACTATACATAGGCTGAATTTATAAAAAGGTTTATATAACTGTCACCATAGATTTGGTACGACTGGGATACATCAAAACCACGACCGTCGCCGGGTGCAGTTCAATCGCCGGTCGCATTGACAACTATTCCATTGTACCAAAGAGGCGGTGAGCGCATGACTATATACAAAACATTGTTTTACCGCAACGAACAATTGACGTTATTACTCCAACTCGTTTAATTCGTTATTCTTGCAATATTGGTGGTGGAGATCTAGAATTTGAGCTCATGACTAAAGCGTGATCAGAGCAAACTAAACCATGAAATGCAAGACCATTAGAACCTTCTAGCCGTCGAAGCTATGGTAATGTACAACACTAACTTGGCAGGAAACACTGGTCACGGTTGAATGATTTTCTATCGGTATATTGTTTGAGCTGGGAGAAAACATTCATGGACAGCATTTATTAGAACTCGTAAAGCTGTAACGCTCGCGCTGCCCTGTCACTTACGTCTTATTGCTCACAGGAGCGCATCACTTTCTATTCGGTCACACATTGACATTGAAAAGAAAGTGAGGGCAGGAACGATATTTTACCATCTTTAACAATCCTACAGTGAGAATGACATTTTTAAAACTTGCTCAAAAATGCTGCACTCTTTTCGCGCGGTGAATTAAAGAAGTTCTATGCTCGATTCTGCGTGCAGTGCATATCGCTTTACTGATTTCAAATTCATATGAGTTCATGAACAGTGCAAATTACCTAGCACTTCACATTCACCGTAACTACTTTGACTTCCTTAGCAGAATGATCTACTATCGTGGAATTGGAGGTTATACAAGTTATGGGTGTTCTCATAGTTTCTGATCGTTACTAATTAATTGGTTAATTGTTCGCCTCCTAATAAGGCCATGAATACGTTTGCGGATTCCCAGAGTCATACATGAATGGATTACACAGTCGAAAATAACAGTTTACAGCAGTCAATCTTTTTAAAAGTGATATTGATATAAGTGCTTGTCTGTCGCTACTTGCCACGCGGGAATACTGAGCGGTAGACTATGCAGAAACACCGATTGCACGAAGCGTTTACCTTCTGGTAAAAGATACAATTACAAGATCAAAGTATGACAAGGTATAAGATCAAAAAGTATTTGCAGCGCCCAAAGCCAGATTGTAGCACCGAAGATTGCAGAAGCACGGTAGGAAGAACCCTCTCCCAGACGGTCCATGCGATATTTATATGTCTGCGCGATGACGAATCCTTCGCAACTTGACCATGTTTTCTTTCTGAAGCAAAAGCCTTATAACAACATGAGACACTACATTGGGCTAAATGTTGTGAGAAACCGTACGACGTTGCAGATGTTGATGATTTGACTCACCATGGCGCAGCGTTATTTCCCAGTCCCTGACCAGGATGTTTATTAAGCACTATCCATACTTACGTGAACATATTCAAAAAAGGATCGCAGTAGCGATACTCCCGCAGGCAAACCTCAGTTGTGTAGGCGATGAAGGCGTTCTTCCAAATCTCGTATTCTTAGTTCGCAGCGACCAAATCCCACTCTCGCTTGTGTGAGTTGTTCAATAACTCTCGGTGTGGTCTCCGGTAATTCGCATAGGGCGGAGTGATGTCCTGTCCTTCGACAATGATAGCATTTAGTGAAGCGTTTCTTACAGAATTGACCGCCAGTGCAATACTCCAAGCAAAGAATACATAGTCTTCTTTCGCCTACGAGTTGTCTTCTCTGTTCGACCCGGCTGACTATGTGGCATGAGTCAGAATAGTGTTCTCCCATTGCCTCACAAAAAACACAACGCATGAATCGTTCTCCGCTAAGACGAATTTGGCCTTGTTCGAATCTCCTCGGTGGGCAGGTTGGCGTTTCCATAAGTACTTGGATGACGCGTCTGAAGTTCAACTCGGCTTGTCGCAATCGGTGAAGTTCCTGCTCGATTTCGCGCTGTCCTACGGGCAGTGGTGGATCTTCATCGTCCGGTTGGTCTCTCGGCTGCGCGTCTTCCTGATTGTCGGCTTCTGGAGGATTTCTCAATTGTTCTTGTTCTGCTTCTGGATCTTGTTCCCGTTCAGCTTCTAGCTTTTGAACTTCTTCCATGAATTCGACATATTCGAGTANTCGAATCTCCTAGGAGGGCAGGTTGGCGTTTCCATAAGCACTTGGATGTTGCGTCGAAAGTTCATCTCGGCTTGTCGCAATCGGTGAAGTTCCTGCTCGATTTCGCGCTGTCCTGTGGGCAGTGGTGGATCTTCAGCGTCCGGTTGGTCTCTCGGCTGCGCGTCTTCCTGTTCCTGATTGACGGCTTCTGGAGGATTTCTCAATTGTTCTTGTTCTGCTTCTGAATCTTGTTCCCGTTCAGCTTCTAGCTCTTGACCTTCTTCCATAAATTCGACATTTTCCAGTATACCTTCTCTTTCTTGCGCTTCCCTGGGAGCGCCCTCCCCCTCGACAAGAGCCTCTTGTCTGGCAATCTGCGGTTGATCAATCACTTCGGCGTTGTTGTTTCTCTGTTGAATGGCTACGTCCAGGGTCGACTGAATGAGACGAAGTTTTTCGAACACAGTCTCTTGAAAGCTTGCCGAGTTCATTCTGTTTTCTTCTTGAAGAGCGGCACGAAGATCTATGAGAGTAATTCGGTGCCCATCAAGTAGTTGAAGTTGGTCGGCAACTGCTGCTTCGATGATGTTATGGTCCATGACAAGGGGATCCTCATCACTGTTTAGTTGTTCCTTTTCCATCCAGGCGTTCCAAGTTGCTGCCGAAAGTGTACCTCTAGCGATGAGTAGTGGTGGTACGGTGGTCAAAGTGCGTATTTGACAGCGAACGAAAAGAAACTCCAAACGCATTCTTTCGCACGTGATCTCCAGTAGTTCTAGTTCATGGAGGCGTTCTTTCCAGTCGGCTCTTGATGAGTGGACGTTGCGAATGCGTTTGCTAAGTTGCTAGAATCTTTTGGTACATTCGTAGAACTCGTGACAACGTGCAACTATGCTATTGTACAGGTGCTCTGGCTCCGGAAGGGATGGAATAGCGCGACGAATCTTTCGTAATTTCTGTTATTCCTCATTCAGAGCTTTTTTGTAGTCATTCAATTCCCTTTTAAGGGCTGTGCATGTATCACTTAGACGTCTGATTTCTCCGTAGAAGTCCATCATCTGAAAGATAAGCAGTGGAAGCTAATAACTATTTCTTTTCCCTTTTTTTGTTAATCGGCGCTAGCGTACTAAAAACGTAGAGCGTAAGCGTAAAAGCAATTTTTCGTCATGTTTTCGATTACGATTGCTTTGACCGTTGACTAGGCGCTCTTTTTCTCTGGCTTGCGCTGTCCAAATGTCATCAACAGTCGGTGCGCCGTCGATAGGGCTGTTGTGAAAAAGAAACAGCTAAATGACCACAGTGTTCTCAAAAAAAAAGCTGAGGGCTTTGAAGCCTATGGTGCTGATACTTGCATATGCGCATAGGATTATAACTGCTCCGATCAACAACGGCGATGAGCGTTTTGTATTGATTGAGAATGACGTCAATGATATGTTTGAAATCAGGCCAGTCCCATTCATTGTAAGCGCTGCTACTTCCACTGATCGCCTTCAGAAGTGGAAGAGGTATAGAATTAGTGTATTTCAAAACTCCGCTAACAATGAAGTGATTTTGAATAGAGTCGCAAGTAATTGTGCAGTTCAAAAGTTGCCTGGCAGAATCTGAGTTGAATCGCAGTGCTGATTGAGGTTCATGAGGGGCGCATGGAACAACAAAGGCCTTTTTAGCGCATAGTACCTCACCGATTGTTCTTTCTTCTGCTTTACAACGGATGTGCGCTACAGCACCTTTCAAGCAACTATAGCAACCTTGTAGCATTGCGTTTTCAATTATACATTTGTGATCTTTTACTTCCAGTATTGCCGTATCGAAGGTTTGGTGAAAATTGGCAACAATTTCTGATGAAAACATGTGGGGAATTTTTGCGATGACAGTAGAACCTTTTCGCCTAATGTTCCAAAAGGGTCCATTCACTGGGAGCTTTAGCTTTAAATTGTTAAATTCCCTTTCGAGTACGAATGACGGGCACTCGCAATGTACCGAATTTTGCGCAGGAGAGCATTCGCATTTGTCCAACAAAGAACAGTTCATTGCTTTCGCATGTCTCCAGGACTTACAGACCAGCCTGTGGCCATTAGAATGCCTCCATATAGATGTATCTGTACCGTCTGTGATAAATTCACTGTTTAGTGCAGGCATAGGAGGCAGTGTAACCATTGTCATGGTTAGTTGAAGAAATGGTTAGTTCACGGGGACATTGGGAATAGCGAGTACGGTGAATTTTCGTTCTCCTGACTGAACATTCTCTACGACAATTTCGAGTTTAACTTCTTCAATCCATCGCATACATCAAAATACTTCATAAATCTTTGGGGATTCTGGAGTTGCAAAGACTCGATAGAATAGGCACCCAGAACCGGGAAGACCACAGCCGCATCTAAATCCTGCGCAAGATTCTAAGCATCCTGTGCGTCCCGGGTATTTGTTACCAGTCTGCAGCTCTGGGATAATGCTTGAACTGTTCACGCCAGCACATTTTTCCCCAGAACATGAACCCATGAAGGGGCATCGCTTACTGTCTATGAATTGAAGTTTAACCGAGCGCGTAAAGAACAGTGTCTCCTGTTTGCAGCGTAAGTAAAGACCTCTCCATCCAACCTTCAAATTCGCGATTAGAGTGTTACTGCGAACGAGACGAAGGCAAGCTTGACTATGAAAACTATTGATTTTTAGAATTTCTGTCAAACTGATTGTACATCTTTCCTTTCCATCGGTTTTGCTGCAGACTGTTGAATGGTGCTCGAGGACATCTACGTGTTGACAGCCGTTCATCGTCCAACCTTGCGCAGTAATTGCGAAAATTATAGCGAGAGCGGCTGCAATGCGCTCTCTACGAGCGGTTTTGGAGGGTCTTATCAGTCTGCGCCCAAATTTTGCTGCACAACGGAAGGCGATGCTCAGAGCAAAGGTCAAGAAGATTCGTATGCCGGAGAGAATAAGACGAATAGGTTTACCAATCGTCATAGGTACATAAAGAAGTGCATAGATGAAGGCCACTAGACTATATAAAATGAGCGTAACCATTATAATTGCTCCAAGTGGCCAACATTCTGGATTTAATAAAATTGGTAAACACACACGACACCCAATATTTGACAAAGGTCCATTGCTCTACAAGTTGTTTCCATTATTTCAAGCCTTCCATTGGATTCCCATTTCAAAATAACGTTGTGGTCGTGTAATGTGACATACGCAGGAAAGTTTACAAAGTGTGGATTTGACACCCATTGCTGAACCTTGCAGACTTGTTCTGAGCAAATTTCAAAGGTCTGAGGCTTAGTCGCGTATACCTCTATCCCTGTATCTGTACATATCATGCGCATCGCCGAAGTTGTATTGCCTAATGCCAATCGGATCAATGAGAACAGCATGATGTGGAAAAGAAGCCACTTTGAAGTACGCTGTTGCTTACTCTTAGGAACCGTAATGACATTATGAACATACTGTACCGGTAGCCTAGGTCGCAGATTGTAGCGGTTGTTTCTTGTTTCGTGATCGTGTACTTCTTCCTCTGGAGGTGGGTTCATAGGGGTTTGTTGCTCCTCGTGATTTTGCGCAGTGTTGGATATCTCAAGTGGTATGAGCAAATTAATTGGTCTACGAGTTTTCTTTTTGGTAGCCGTGATAAGTTCAACCTCTCGAATTTCGCCGTCATGGCCACGCTTCATTTGGTTGATGCGCGCCATTATCCATACATTCCTTGGAAGAATCGGGTCGCTAACTAAGACTACATCTCCTATGTTGGGATGAGCTTTTCCTTGCCGGTGATTGGAAATAGTCGTTTTATGCGCTTCTCGCAGTGATGTCGAATATTGATTTTGCCATATATTCCAAAACATTTCTGTTTCCTGAATGGAGGATTGGAGCGCTTCAACCGTTTGTTCTCGATATGATAGTGTACGAAGTTCATTAGGAGGTAGATAGTCAGGGTCTTCCTTGCCATCTACACTGATATTCTTGAGGGGAGTGGTTAGCTTAATTCCATGGTGTAAAAGGTCTATTGGCCGTATGGAACTCAGTTCCTCTTGTGTTGACGTTTGATAGGTTAATGGTCGAGAGTTTAAGCATGCTTCTACTTCTACCACAAAGGTATGGATATCGTCAAAGGTGCGACATCGTGATCCGCGCATAGCCTTATATAGGGCATGTTTTATGGACTTAATCAATCTTTCGTAGAATCCGCCTTGCCAAGGTGCGTATGGCGTAATGTGATTCCAACGAATTTCCTCATTTGTGAGGGTATTCGCTATATCTACATTTATTGATCTGTACATATTGATCTGTTTATTGATCGCTGTTGTTCAGATAATATGTTAGCGCTAAGCAAAAAAGTGGGTGCATTGTCGCATGTGATCGATTCTGGACACCCTCTTCTTGCGATGAATCTTCGCAGTGCATAGAGGAACTCTTTTGTAGCCATGGTTTTCACGACCTCCAGGTGGATTAGGCGTGTGACAGTACGTAAAAATGCAACCTACAGTTTGATTTTATTTCCCTCTTCTGAGCAAGGGGGGGGGGGNGGGGGGAGATCAAAAAAGTCCAAACCTGTATGTTGAAATGGGCGAGCTTTCCAAACGCGCTGTTTTGGTAGGTCTGCACTATCGGGATATCGATATGGTAAGGCATTGAAGCGTCGACATTTAATACAATGTGCAATCAACTTGCGGACTTTCTGCCGTAGTTTTGGGATCCAGTATTGCTCTCTTGCAGCTGATATTGTATGTTCTATTCCCTTATGGTAGGTACCATGAGCTTCTTTGATAATGAGCGTCGCCAATGGGGTGTTCGGTGTAATGAAAATGGGATGTTCGGCATCAATACTCAGTTCAGAGTTCCCAAGCCTTCCTTTAGATCGCCATAGTTGGTTTATGTCTTGAAACAGCTGGAGAGTGTTCTTCATGGATTTTCTATATTCTTTTGGTAAATGGACTTTCTGATGGTCGCGAATGAGAGCGAATCCTGCAGCCTTGACTTCTTGCCCTTGCAATGCTCTTGGTGCTTCTAAAGTATCTCTTAGCTCTGGAATATGCTCCAAAATGCTGTTTCTTCGGGCATGAGTGAGAACGTGTAACAACCTTTTTAGAAATCGAAGTACCAATGCTGCCACTCTTTTCGCTCTGGAGAACGAACTGTAGCGTTTGCAGTCAAATAGACCTTCAACGGAAGCGTGAGACGTGGATGTGGTGTAGATAGTAGTTGAGGGCATGTCTTCAATATCTACGCAGTTTTCAAGTGATGTTAATGAGTAGAAAGTAGTGTGCCATTCTGTAACAGGCGATCGTAAGAATTCTGGACCATCCCACCATATGTGGCTCTCCAGTTGTGTTTTGGATAGGCCCCTTGTCCCTGGATCCGCTGGATTCTCAGAGGTGTTCACGTAGCCGAAAGCTACGCTCACTCCGTCTTTCTTCAATTCTTGAACTATATTGCGTATTTCGCGCAATCTGTTTGCTATCAACACACCTAGCTCCTTGCCCTTGTTACTGGAAAGCCAGTTCAGGATAATCTGTGTGTCTGAGAAGAGATAGATCTTCCACGGATAGTCGGATATGCGCGATTTCAAAGCTTTCGTTGTGGAGTGGGCGAGGCGTATAGCTAGGCTAGGCATTCAGTTCCAGTTTCGGCATTGTCGTCTTTGTTTTCAATGAGGGGAGCTTCCCTTTTGCCATTACTAATGTTGAACTATTTCCTCCGAACATGTAAGGGCAGGCAGCGATGACAGCATCACTAGCATCTGAGAAAACTGCCA